GAGGGTGGTAGTTTCTAGGCATGGGTACTGCACTAGAGTGAACTAGTACCTCACCCAGCCAGTACCTCACTCAGCCAGTACCTCACTCGTCACTTTCTCATTACCGGTAACGAGGAGAATAACCTACTTCTCCAGCATCACGGTGCTCCTCCCTCTTGGTCCAAGTCCCTCACCAAGAATTCATTCGGGGATAACTTTTTTACATATACAAATTAATGAGTTCGTGTTAGAGCTTACCATCAGGCTCTGATGAGCACACAACTAGAGAGTAACGTGTAAAAAAAAAAACGTTTTATCCACGCGCATAAACACAAAAGACAGTTGTAAAACTAGCTTTTAAATGGGACAACATTTCGACTTAAGCCCAGTAGAAGTTTTTTCTGCAACTTGGTTTTTTTTTATCCTCATATAAAACAAGTTCAATGAATTTAAAGACAGCAATGAAGTACTATATAACTGTGTAGGAACTGAGAGATCCCTCTCAGTATTACTGACACACCTTCCTGAGGTGTCACTAACACTGGTTTCGAGAGCTCTCTACTCTCGAAAGCCAGACCTAATTGGCTATCTGGTTAACCAAACTATTCCTGCTGGCGGCCAGCAGGCGTGTATAATTAATAATCACTGAGTATACAAAGAATGCTTTATTTAATATTCAAATTAATTAAGGACTTTCTCTCCCTGACAAGAAATACTCAACTCAGTCCTGGGTTTTACAGTCAATATTTAATTAATCGCAGCTGCTACACTTTGATAAGGAAGAGTTAAATAATATCTCATTAGGAAAAACTAAAAACATTTCATGAGTGGCCTTTTGAACGTACAATTGTAATTATAACAAGTGTATCTAACTGCAAAACTAATTTTCCTAACTGCTTTGCACCTTTCAAAAGAAATATTTTAATTTTTATAAGAGAAAACGAGGAAACGACCTTATACTGTGTATAAGGGGGGACTGTAGTGTTTACATCACTCACCAGCCCATCACCACATGTTTACTGCTTCACTAACACACCTTTCTACTCATTAACACTTCCGGGTTGAGAATATGTCTCTGTATAAACCTGTCATGCTCGCAGAACGTACACTAACGAAAGCAATTAAGAAAATGAGAACATTTTTACTGTTAGGGACCCGTGAGTTAATTAAAAGTATAGATTTGTCTGCAGCAGAGAAAGGAAGAGGTTCTGCACGTTTGCTACAGCTGAGATACAGTGAACTGTCAGAAAAGTAGACTAAAAAATAATACAACAAATTGCACGTATCTTGAATTTCTCGATTCAAGATACGTGCAATTTGCTGAGACGTTCCTTCTCCTCCCGATGGTTACAAGAGTGACTTGTTGAGTTAAGATAAGATAAGATAAGATTTCGTTCGGATTTTTAACCCCGGAGGGTTAGCCACCCAGGATAACCCAAGAAAGTCAGTGCGTCATCGAGGACTGTCTAACTTATTTCCATTGGGGTCCTTAATCTTGTCCCCCAGGATGCGACCCACACCAGTCGACTAACACCCAGGTACCTATTTGCTGCTAGGTGAACAGGACAACAGGTGTAAGGAAACGTGTCGAAATGTTTCCACCCGCCGGGAATCGAACCCGGGCCCTCCGTGTGTGAAGCGGGAGCTTTAGCCACCAGGCCACCGGACATCAGGAAACACTTTTTTGGTTTCTTGACGAACCTTACCTAACCTTGACCCCCGAAACTCTCTCCAGGTAAACTCCAGGTAAACCTTCAAGTACATGACACGACTATTACAGACTTAACTGACATCACTGGCATACTATATAGAAAGCTCCTGGTTATGCACTGCATTTCTGGCAACTTAGGTTAATCTTGTTCCCAATCATGCGACCCATGACAGTTGGCTAACACCCAGATACCTACTTACTGCTAGGCTAACACGAGCAGCAAGTGTAAAGAACCCCTATCCCGACGTTTCATCCGTGCCCGAGGCTTAAGGCTTATTCCTTTAAGAAAAAGGAGGAGTAGATGTAAAATAGAAAGAGACAGGCGCTCCCTTTACAGGCGACGGAAAAGAAAAACAGAGCGGCTAAAAGAGGCCAATATATCTGAAAAGCGTAGGGAGTCATTGGTCAGAGAAATAGCAAGCATCGAACTTAAGCTAAAGGAATCTTATAGGAGTCAGGAATCGCGGGAAGAACTAAAAGCCATAAGTGAAATCGAAAGAAACCCAAAGTATTTCTTCTCCTATGCCAAATCAAAGTCGAGAACAACATCCAGTATTGAGCCCCTACTTAAACAAGATGGGTCCTACACAGATGACAGCAAGGAAATGATTGAGCTACTCAAGTCCCAATATGACTCAGTTTTTAGCAAGCCGATAACCAGACAGAGTCGAAGATCAAAATGATTTTTTTATGAGAGAGCCACAGAATTTGGTTAACATAAGCCTATCTGATATTATCCTGACGCCAAATGACTTCGAACAGGCGATAAATGACATGCCCATGCACTCTGCCCCAGGGCCAGACTCATGGAACTCCGTGTTTATCAAGAACTGCTTTTACCATCCTATGGAGAGGGAGCATGGACACGGGGGTCGCCCCACAGTTACTAAAAACAACAGACATAGCCCCACTCCACAAAGGAGGCAGTAAAGCAATAGTAAAGAACTATAGACCGATAGCAATAACATCCCATATAAAAATCTTTGAAAGGGTTCTAAGAAGCAAGATCACCACCCATCTAGATACCCATCGATTACACAACCCAGGGCAATATGGGTTTAGAGCAGGTCGCTCCTGTCTGTCTCAGCTACTGGATCACTACGACAAGGTCCTAGATGCACTGGAAGACAAAAAGAATGCAGATGTAATATATACAGACTTTGCAAAAGCCTTCAACAAGTGTGACCATAGCGTAATAGCGCACAAAATGCGTGCTAAAGGAATAACAGGAAAAGTTGGTAGATGGATCTATAATTTCCTCACAAACAGAACACAAAGAGTAGTAGTCAACAGAGTAAAGTCGGAGGCGGCTACGGTGAAAAGCTCTGTTCCACAAGGCACAGTACTCGCTCCCATCTTGTTTCTCATCCTCATATCTGACATAGACAAGGATGTCAGCCACAGCACCGTGTCTTCCCTTGCAGATGACACCCGAATCTGCATGACAGTGTCTTCCATTGCAGACACTGCAAGGCTCCAGGCGGACATCAACCAAATCTTTCATTGAGCTGCAGAAAACAATATGAAGTTCAACGATGAGAAATTTCCATTACTCCGATATGATAAACATGAGGAAATTAAAACTTCATCAGAGTACAAAACAAATTCCTTCCACAAAATAGAGCGAAAAACCAACGTCAAAGACCTGGGAATGATCATGTCGGAGGATCTCACCTTCAAGGAAAATAACATTGTATCAATCGCATCTGCTAGAAAAATGACAGGATGGATAATGAGAACCTTCAAAACTAGGGATGCCAGCCCATGATGACACTCTTCAGGTCGCTTGTTCTATCTAGGCTGGAATATTGCTGCACACTAACAGCACCTTTCAAGGCAGGTGAAATTGCTGACCTAGAAAATGTACAGAGAACCTTCACGGCGCGCATAACGGAGATAAAACACCTCAATTACTGGAAGCGCTTGAAGTTCCTGAACCTGTACTCCCTGGAACGCAGGCGGGAGAGATACATGATTATATACACCTAGAAAATCCTAGAGGGACTAGTACCGAAATTGCACACGAAAAATCACTCACAACGAAAGCAAAAGACTCGGCAGACGATGCAACATCCCCCCAATGAAAAGCAGGGGTGTCACTATCACGTTAAGAGACAATACAATAAGTGTCAGGGGCCCAAAACTGTTCAACTGCCTCCCAGTATACATAAGGGGGATTACCAACAGACCCCTGGCTGTCTTCAAGCTGGCACTGGACAAGCACCTAAAGTCGGTACCTGACAAGCCGTGCTGTGGCTCGTACATTGGATTGCGTGCAGCCAGCAGTAACAGCCTGGTTGATCAAGCTCTGATCCACCAGGAGGCCTGGTCACAGACCGGGCCGCGGAGGCGTTGACCCCCGGAACTCTCTCCAGGTATCGTTCCCGAACCCTCAGTGGATGAGCTGAGAACGATATCAACCAAACACTGAAGCTGCTTGTTGACATGACCGTCATACTGTTCAGTGCTGGGGGAACAGTGTTGTGAAGTCTACGACTGATGATCCGCTTACCAGGTTTACAACAGTAATACTGTTACTTATATCTTAGGCATGTAATGTTAAAAAAATATCTTGAAAAGTATGTGTCAAAGATTATTTTTTATCACCCAAGCCTAAATTAGTTGCCCACATATTCGCTAATGCTGAAGATGTAATAAAATAAATATGAACTCAGCTGTATTTTCAGACTTAACGCTAGACTTACCCAAGCAAATTAATATAAATAAATCACATTATTTGACTTTAATAGGTTATTTGCGGTTACACCTTTGTAATTTATCACCAGTGAATGACTATAATAATCATGACCTTAATACAAACACGATCAATTTTAAGCTTCATCCTATACAAGCATTTATGTATATATCAAACTGGGATTATTATAACTGCAGCAAACTCTTATGTACCTATTCTATATGGTGCATTTTTCCAAACGAAATCGAAAAAGTACCTTGGAGATATGAGGTGGTCAGTGACTGACCACCTCATATCTCCAAGGTTGATGGACTGATTACATCATTTTCACCTCACTACTATACCTGCTACCTCTGTATTTGACTGAAGAAGCCTACTGTGTAAACGAAACAATTCAACAATTAAAGATACCCTAGTGTTGCACATGTGTCTTAATCATCAAAGCTCATTTTACCTCCACAATTAAAGATACCCTTGTGTTGCAAATGTATATACATATTACCTCCACAGTACATCAGTGCCACATCATACATACACAAGTGTATGACTGTAGTGTAGCACTCTACCCAGGTACACCCTAGTTCTACATCACACTACAAAAAGAGCAGTAATTACCTGCAGATAGCCTCGTCCTGGAAGCCAAATCAGCCTTGGTCTTCCTTCATCCGGCCTTCCATGGGCTCTCTCTTTCCCTCGCACAATGCGCTGTATCCAGTGTTTCATTATATACAAAAGAAATATCCGAATTGTATTAAATATGCCGGTGTATTCCCTCACGTGTCGACAGGCGCTGTCCATTGAACTTGCCTCTCGGGGCAAAATAGAAAAAATATCATCGTTCCACTCTGGCATTCACAAATTTTCCTCAAACCAAAAATAAATTGAAAAAAAATTTCCTAGTTTTGTTTGTGATGTTGGTGTAAGATGCTACACAAATCCACCGATATTTAGCAATGTTTCTGCAACATTCAGTGTATATTCCACCGATGTTCGAGGTTGGCTTGCATACAAAATATGGTTCTTGTATACACCATTATTACTAGCCACTTCTATTTGAAAAAATAATTCACTTATATTTCAGAAGTCCCTTTAAATGCGCTTGGTATACACTTACAAATGCCCAGAGAGCATTAAAAATCCTATATCATGGAGAAACTTTCGTAAGGCAAGCTTGCTGTTGCAGCCCTGTCGGGTATTAGGAACAGATCATTTGGGTTCTGTATCCCAAATTTGTGCCTGCATTCTCGTACTCAACCACGCTGGGCTTCTAGATGCAAGTGTTGAGCGTCACGAAGGTTGGCCAGAAGTGCAGTAGGCTAAACTCAGAACAAGACCTGTGTATCACACCGTCACGCAGGAGGAGCAGCGTCACCCCACAATAACACGACACCACTTCTCACCAACATTACACCTATGCATAACCACAGCGTCAGCACAAGCTTTCAGAAAGTTGTGTCAGCACAAGCTTTCAGAAAGTTGTATCAGCACAAGCTGTCAGAGAGTTGCGTCAGCATAAGCTATCAGGGCATCTCAGGTGACTGTAGTGCTTCGGTTTACCACCGCATTTCCATCCCCGGATTTTAAGCTTGAAACAGCCAAGGATGGAGCTAATAATTTATTACCAATGAGTTATCCAATTGTTGAACTTTCATGCACCGCACGCTCCTCATGGTGGCAAGATCTTTCACAGGATGAGTGGCACTGCCCAATAAACTCGCCCCTCAGTGCAAAATGTTAATTTCCTTATCTCGTAATTATTGTTGGTAGAATAAACTCTTCCACCGCTATCTCTGCTACCTGGTGAAACCATGTTCCTCCGGCGCATCATAACAGTGAACTAGCAGTGAACAGTCTCACTCACACACCTGGTTACCTGGAGGTTATTCCGGGGATCAACGCCCCCGCGGCCCGGTCCATGACCAGGCCTCCCGATGGATCAGGGCCTGATCAACTAGGCTGTTACTGCTGGCCGCACGCAGTCCAACGTACGAGCCACAGCCCGGCTGATCCGGCACTGACTTTAGGTATCTGTCTAGCTCTCTCTTGAAGGCAGCCAGGGGTTTATTGGCAATTCCCCTAATGCTTGATGGGAGGCTGTTAAACAGTTTTGGGCCCCGGACACTTATGGTGTTTTCCCTTAGTGTACCAATGGCGCCCCTACTTTTTATTGGGGGCATTTTGCATCGCCTGCCCAGTCTTTTACTTTCGTAGGGAGTGATTTCTGTGTGCAGATTTGGGACCATTCCTTCCAAGATTTTCCAAGTGTAGATTATGATATATCTCTCCCTCCTGCGTTCCAACGAGTACAAGTCAAGTGCTTCCAAGCGTTCCCAGTAGTTAAGGTGCTTGACAGAACTTATACGTGCAGTAAAGGATCTCTGTACACTCTCTAGATCTGCGATTTCACCTGCTTTGAATGGAGATGTTAATGTACAGCAGTATTCCAGCCTAGAGAGAACAAGTGATTTGAAAAGGATCATCATGGGCTTGGCATCTCTCGTTTTGAAAGTTCTCATATCCATCCTATCATTTTCTTTGCACGTGCGATCGTGGCACTGTTGTGATCCTTGAAAGTGAGATCCTCAGACATTACTACTCCCAGGTCCCTTACATTATTTTTTCCGCTCTACTTGTATGGCCGGAGTAAGTATACCTGTTCTGTATTATCTCCTCCGTTTTCCATAACGTAGTTGGATTTATTATATAATCAAAGGAATGCCTAAACCGAGATTATACAAGCTGGGGGATATGAAGGCATTCAGCTAATTTGGTGAACATGGAGCACAGGAGTAGTTGGAATTTGTCCTCATTGAACATCATATTGTTTACCGTTGCCCACTGGAAAACTTTGTTTATATCTTCTTGGAGGTTAACCGCGTCCTCAGCAGATGACACTATTATTATTATTATAATCAAGGAGCGCTAAACCCGAGGATATACGCGCCTGGGGGGGATGTGGAAGCATCAGCTTAATTCGGAATGAGCACAGATCCAATTCCCAACAAGAGCCCCTCCCAATAAGGACTCTGAGGCAGCAGATGACCCCAGCAGATCCTATTTCATCCGCAAGATGAGTGCGTGGTGTTATCTTGTTATGCTGTAAGGATAGGAAAAGATGGGGGCGAGTACTGTGCCTTGTGGAACAGAGCTCTTCACTATGGCAGCCTCCGATTTAACTCTGTTGACCACTACTCTTTGTGTTCGATTTGTTAGGAAGTTGAAGATCCATCTCCCCACTTTCCCAGTTATTCCTTTAGCACGTATTTTATGGGCTATTACGCCATGATCGCATTTGTCAAATGTTTTTGAAAAGTCTGTGTATATTACATCTGCATTCTGATTTTCTTCCAGTGCATCCAAGGCCATGTCATAGTGATCCAGTAGTTGCGAGAGGCAGGAGCGACCTGCCCTGAACCCATGTTGCCCTGGATTGTGCAGATTTTGGGAATCCAGGTGATTTGCAATCCTGCTTCTTAGCACTCTTTCAAAGATTTTTATGATGTGGGACGTCAGAGCTATTGGTCTATAGTTCTTAGCTAATGCTTTGCTGCCACCTTTATGGAGTGGGGCTATATCCGTTGTTTTAAGTGACTGTGGAATTTCACCCATGTCCAAGCTCCTCCTCCATAGTGTACTTAGGGCACGCGAGAGGGGTTTCTTGCAGTTCTTAATGAAAACAGAGTTCCACGAGTCTGGGCCCCTCGATACACCAATAAAATCCTTAAATGGATTTGACAAACCCGTGTAGCAGTCACTTGTCCCGTTTCCTGACAAAACCTCCACCTCTGGAGAAATTAAATATATATATATATATATATATATATATATATATATATTATATATATATATATATATATATATATATATATATAGTCGTGCCGAATATGTAAAAATGGTCAATTAGCAAGAACTCATTTAAAATTAAGTCTTTTCTAAAATTTTCTCTTATACGTTTAAAGATATATTTTTTTCATTAATGTTAATGTAAAAATTTTTAATTTTGCACCAAAAGAATCTTAGAAAACTTACCTAACCTTATTATAACAAGAACAATTAATTTTAGCCTAACCCAACTAAATATATTTTAAATACGTTTGCAATAATTTAGTACTAAACATACACAATCAAATATATTTTTTTCGTTAGGTTCAGAATGATTTTGGCGAAATTATTGCATACACTTGTCCTATATGGCAAGATGAGCGTTGCTATTTAAGCCAAGATCGCAAGTTCTGCCTATTCGACACATCGACACCATGCCTAACCCTTCTAGGGTAGGGTCGGTGCCTGAGCCGGAGCTTGCAGCTCATAAGACTGTCATTCCCATTAGCCCCCTTGGGGCGGGGATGGCAGACCAGAGAGGCCTAGCTTGTGGCTAGGCCTGGGGTCAGTTGGTCCCAAAGATGAGGAGGTACTTGTGTCTCCTCCCATGGGAGACTTAGGTCTCAGATACTCCCTCAAGAGGGAGCCAAGGCCGGGCCACCACTTGGACAAGGCCCGGGCCGGGAGACTACCGGCTAATCTTTAACTAACTAACTATTCGGCACGACACATAATATATATATATATATATATATATATATATATATATATATAATATATATATATATATATATATATATATATATAATATATATATATAGCAGAACAACCATTGAAAAAATAGTTCAATTCCAAGCGGTTTCGTGAATTCTCACATTATCAAGGAACTATATAGTTCATATAGTTCCTTGATAATGTGAGAATTCACAAAAGCACTTTTAATTTCAATATTTTCTCACAGTGGTTGTTCTGCATATTGTGACATCACCTGTTTACTGTGATCTTATTGCATACATTATATATATACACACACACACACACATATATATATATATATATAATAATAATAATAATAATAATAATAATAATAATAATAATAATAAACTGTGCGCTTGTCTAGCAATTAGCGGATGGAGTTGAATGACCCACAAAAATTTCCAGCTTCACACAATAGAATAATAAATGAGCATAATTTAGCATCTGTACAAAGATTTTAGTTGTCAATTTGTTATATTTCAGTAAATAATTGTAACAACCTAAGCTCATATTAACCATCGTTCCGATTCTTACGCATTTTAGTATATAAATTTCTTTACCATCTGAGTCACTTACAAAATTAAACATTAGTTATGTTAGGTATGCTAAAGCTGCTTTAATAAATAAGCCTATATATATATTGTAGAGTTAACGTGCCACACACAGCAGGTTATAGGCAGACGAGACGGGTGGGTGTGTGGTAGCGTAGTGGGGGAAGACATAGAACTTGTAGGTAACAAGAGGTTGGTTGTGTAGGCTGTGTTGGTGTAACAGATGTGTTGGGGCTCGTCAGACACTACTCCACATTTGTAAGCTTGCTGCAGTTTAAAATAAACTTCCTGTATGTTAAGTGTTAACTTCCTGCCGACATAATAAATCATTCAACACAACCAATGTACTCCTCTCACCCCTCATGATATATAAATAACAATCATAATTATTTTAGCAGATCCTCCTGGATTTCACAACATCCTCCTGTGTTGTAGGTGACCAGCTATATAAATATTAACAGAGAGAGAGAGAGAGAAACATGAGCTTCAACCAAGCACAGCTCTACTGTTGTAACTATAAACACTAAAGATGGATCACCACGAGCATAGCTCTGCTCCTACAATTACGGACACTACGACCACCAGCATAGAACTGTTACTGAAACTACCAACATGTCATCATTTCCTACGACCACCAGCATAGCACTGTTACTGTAACTACCAACATGTCATCATTTCCTACGACCACCAGCATAGCACTGTTACTGTAACTACCAACATGTCATCATTACGACCACCAACATAGCACTGTTACTGTAACTACCAACATGTCATCATTTCCTACGACCACCAGCATAGCAGTTACTGTAACTACCAACATGTCATCATTTCCTACGACCACCAACATAGCACTGTTACTGTAACTACCAATATGTCATCACTGTAAATCAAACAACTGAACAGGAGGACGAACCTGAAAACCAAAGATGCATGAGAACATCATTTTTCTTACTTTATTTGATGTAAATAACTTCCCGAATATACACAAGTGGTGCTGCAGTTGCTTTGTCTTGCTTAATCAAAAACCAATAAAAATATTGTTTCAGACTATGGAACAATACTCTTCTCCCAGACTGAGGGACTGACCACCTCAAAACTTCAAGGGTGATGGACTGATTACATCGTCTTCAAGTCTCTTCTGCTTCTATCAACTTTTCT